TTTTGGTCTATAATGAGAAAATCACCCTTTTTGCATCTTTTAGAAGGTTCCACAGAGTGGTTTTTACATATTCTCTGCTGTTTCTGCTAAAGTTAATGTGAGTGTTGGAGGTAGTGCTTAAAAGTTGGGCAGGTATTTGAAATATGTGCAGAAGTGGTGGCTCTCTTAAGAAATGGAAAGAAAATGAAAGAAAAAAAATTGAAATCAAAAGAGAGCCACCACCCAAAAATCTGAATAATGCCCAGTAAGTAGTGTTTCTTAGCAGTCTGGCTTGGAAATGCTGACATTTATACCTCCTTCGCTTTTGTGCTCTTGAGATATTGAGTAATGCAGAATAGCATAAAGAAAATAACGGTTTGTTTGACTGTGATTGTGTGGGTTTGGAAATGTGGAACCTTGTGCTATGAATACTTCCACCACTTAAAAGGCCTTTTCCCAATGTCCAAGACCCTAGCCAGTCATTTGAACCTGTGTCTAAGACCTCCGGATTAGTTAGTGGTGACACCCCATATGTGAACTCTAGCATTTAGAGGCTGCCATCATGGTGAAGAGATGATAGGGATTGAGAGAAATAGCATGCGCATGAGATGATAGTGATTCATTTTCATATTCTATATACTCTTGTACCCCGGTGAGGACCTAGATTGCTTGGTCTCTGTTCTGATGTCTTGGGGGTTGGATGCATGAGTTGACTGTTTTGAGTAAGTGGTTGAGTCAAGTCTAGGTTGGCTGGTGAACAGAAGGGAGACTCTTCCTTTACTCGATTTTGCTGCACTCGAATGTCCTTTGTGGTGGTTGTCCAGGTTGCTATTGAGGTTGCTCATGTATTGATGTTTGAAACCAGTACGATTCACGTGTTCGGTGCCTTTATGACTTGTCCCCAATTTGGGTTGATTGAAATATGTAAGCTTACCTGGTGTCTGACTTGGTTTGCTTGGGGACAAGCAAACGGTTAAGTGTGGGGGAGTTTGATAGACCGTTATTTACACATGTTTTTACCCCCGTTCTTACACCGTTTGAGGTGTTGATTCTCGTGTTTTAAGCCGATTTCACCCTAGGTTGTGCTTGTTTGTGATATTTCAGGTCCTAGTACGTGAATGGAGGCTTGGGAGCGAGTCTGGGGTTGATTGGACGAAGATCGGACGAATGGCGAGGTTTCAAGGAAGCCGCACGGGCAGACCGGGGCATCACACGGCCGTGCAAGTGAGCAAGGTGGCCGTGTGATTTCCACCTAGAGCAAACACGGGCACAAGTAGCTTTCACACGGCCGTGCAAGTGAGCAAGGTGGCCGTGTGATTTTTTCTGAGGCCACACACGGGCAACCCATGAAATCCACACGGCCGTGCAACCCTGGCCGTGTGAGATGGCTGAAGACTGAACTAATCCATACGCTGCGTTTCGACTCACACGGGCAAAGTGGTGAGCCACACGGCCGTGTGGCCTGCCCGTGTGAGTCGGGAAATTCTGGGTTTTGAGCCAATTTTGAGCCAAAAGTGGGAGAATCGGATTTTCAGAGCAAAAACAGAGCCCTAGAGAGAGAAAGTACGAAGAACACATCCTAGAAGCTATCTTGGAGCTGGGTTTCACCGAATCGAGCTTGGAGATCTTCATAGGAGTGGAAATCATCATCCCGGAGTAGATTTTCCTCATCATTATGAGTATGACTACTCCGATTACTGTTTTCTCTTCTCTCTCAACGGAGTAGAACCCTTCTCTCACTTGGGTATGAAGAACCCTAGTTCCTTGTGTTAGGGATTTGATTGTAATAACTTGGGATGATATTACTGTTTGATTTTAATCGAATGATGCATGTTTATTGAATTGATTGGAGTCTGATCAGCTTTTCTTGATTTCTGCTGCAACCTGAGATAGATAGAATCTGATTAGGTTGTTAGAGCCTCTTCATTCGATAGTAGGAGATTGGCTATACGAGAGTTAGTCAGTTTACTGCTTTGTACTGGAATTCAATTCTAGTAGTGGAGTTATGTGTTCATAGCCTCAGCTTTCTATCCCGGTGAAGACTAGTCGTCTGCCGGGTAGTTAGACTGAGAGGGCTTGGTCAGCTTAAGAGATTCCAAGCTACTGTCGGAACTTTCGCAGTCTAATCAACAGTGGATCAACCCAGGGGAATTACAATTGGACCTAACTAAGGGGCTAGGGGGACTCAATCCCGAGTGACTCTTTCCTGACTTTGAAAACCGAATTATTACTTGCTTTCTTACTGCTTTTGCTTTAAACAACAATCACTCGAATTAGTTTGTTAGATAATAGAGAATCACGGAGTAAGCAGTAGATCTAGACCCCGGGTTGATAATAGAACTTGCCTGTTACTGCATCCCCGGACTGCGATTACACTTGGTCGCAGTTTGGTGTTGTATTTTGGCGTGTCATTGCCCCCACTATTGATTGTTGTAGTAGGGCGACTCTCCGCTTTGATGGTAAGTATGCTGTTAGTATCCTGAATATTCATCACAGTGTGGCGGTGATTTTGTCAGACTTTGGCAATATTCTTCTCACCGGGCCCCACGGTGGGCGCCCATTGTTGATGCCAAGCTTAAAGCAGCCTGCTTCAATATGTTTAGGTCCGGAGAGCGCTGATTTCCCAAAGCCTTTAACCACCTCCAGCTCCGTGCGAATACCTGGAAAAAAAGGTCCCACCGGGGGGTCCTGGTTGGAACCTCCTCCGACGATCAAATTAGTAATCTGAATGGAATAAAATAAATACGATGACGTAGACCTGGTTCGGTCCCACGGTCGTAATTGAGCGTCGTCGGCTATTTAATGCCGCCCGGTGGAGACTATCCACGATTCCATGGCTTAGTCCGCCAAATTGAGGGTGTGTTGAGTGTTTAGAGATTTAACACGTTTTGGGAGATCGAGAGAGAGAAAACGTTTTTAGAGAGAGAAAGTAAAGAGAGTATGTATGTGTGAGTTGTGTTGTGTGAAGTAGTCGTAAGCGACTTATGTGGTGGTGTGTGTGTGACTTGTTGTTATGAGAAAGGGGGAGGGGTGCTCCCTATTTATAGGGGAAAATCGTAGTTGAATTCCTCGACTTACGTTAACATTCACCAACATTTCTCAATAATTATGATATATGAGAATATCCAAGTGTGTATGCGAAAGTATGAGAAAGTGTAAATATATAAGGGAAAATAAATGAGTATGGGTAATGTAAACGAGAAACATTTACGTATATGTATGAATATGTACGTAAGTAAATGTATATGTAAGAAAATGAAAGAAAGAGGAGGAATGAAGGAGAAAGTATAGGAATGTGTATGAAAGTATAGGAATGTGTAGGAATGTGTATGAAAGTGTAGGAAAGTGTATGAAAGTAAAGGAAAGTGAAGGAAAATAAGATAAACAAATAATAATCATATAGTAATATTAATCATATTCTTATGTAATATAATAAGATATAATATATTAATTATTTAATAATAATTGGAGTAAAATACTTTATTTCAACGGGCAGGTGAAGCAGGTGAATACCGGGTTCATCAAAAGCATATGTGTTTATTCAACGCGATATTATTTATGAGCAAGCTCTTAGATGCAAGTACAAAAAACAAGTCGCAGAAACACATATCTCCCATGAATTTTCCACCAAACTAGGCTCGTTTGCTTCATGGATTTGAAAAATGAAGGTTTTGGTTAAAACATGGGTTTTACAAAACCATGGATCTATGATGGAATTGCCCCATTTGGTTTTTGGTACAAACCATCGTTTGCTTGTTGGATTTCATGATGGATTTGACATTGTTATATTTGTGGTTGTATTAGGAATTTACCTTAGTGCCCTTATTGAGTATTATTTATTTTTACATTATAATTTTTGTTACAAAACAATTTTCACCCAATAGCTTCGTCCTACTACCACAATCGGAACAAATGAACATGATTAATCAATAACAACTTCATATTATACACATAATTAGACAATTCCTTAAGGTTTTCAATGTTGCAAAGTATGCTTTGAGATTAATCATATAGTGTTTGCGTGCAATGAATAATAACGAATATTGAATGCAAAATTAATATGCACTACAAGTTGGTCATTAGTAAATGAAAGAGGATAAGTTGGTGATTAGTTTAATAAGTAGGATTAAAATTGTAAAAAGTCATCATGGACTTTGTACCCCAACACAAATCCCACCTCTTGGAGTGGAATTCTCAAGTCCGCGGGGTCCACGGATTTGGACCATAAAGGTATGTGGGCCCCACGAATTTATTCATGTTAAATCCATCATGCAAACGACGTATTGTGTACAAAGTCCATGATGTTTGGTTTTTACGTACCAAATCCATGATGAATTCCATAAAACAAACCAGTAATATCGTAATGTACCAATAAGCTCCCTTGTATATTCCACTTTCCAGGTGGGACAAACTTGTTAGACTCATATCCTAGCAAGTTTACTCACTTAGCCTCCATGATACTTCATGGTGCACTCATATATAAACTTGATTGATTTATAGTAACTATTATTGGAAAACGTTCCTTAACTAATTCCATAAATATCAATATGCAACTCTTGTTTTTTATAAATATTTCGGTAGGACCCATGATTTGCCTAATGTTGTAGATACAAATTCACGAGTCATGACGATTACCCTTTCTTGCTCACTTTATTTTGGACAATTAACATAAATTGAGTGTACATCCAATGAATGCACAGTCATCCTTCCATGTTTTAGCTCCTTGGATGTTCAATCTACCACCTCCGACTATAAATCCTTTAAAGATAGTATTCCCACTCACTGCTGAAAGGTATAACTGCTAGTGTCATAGATGATGATTATACGTTGTCGCAATCAATTTAAAGCATTATCGAAGGTCAACATTACCGAATGATATGGCCAAAATAAATCAATTATTCAAAATATTCAGGCGAAAATAATGATCTTTTCATCGAAACTAGGATATTGACATGTTTTAATGAGTACAACAATTTTGTTGGTTTTATTTTATCGGTCAGTCAATGTATAACATTAAATTCGCACCTCAATCAACATCTCTGTTCCAACCGTATTACCATATACCTTTCAAAACCATGGATGATCATCATCACAACTATAAGATGGATCTTCACTCCACATGAACTTAAATTTTTATCAGTGACCGACGACACCAACAGTTCTAAGATTGACAATAATTTCACTTTCATTGAATGGCTAAGATGGTACAAAGGCATTGCAGTACGTAATAGCATTGGACAAACACGTACACACCGGATGAACGCAAACTCACTAGAACTCACATCATTTTCCCTTAAATTTCAGCAAATATTTTGATCATATTTGGTCACATCTTTCTTAATTAGTACCAAATATACCATTATAGATATCACGACAACAATGACGACGACGATCCATGCACATCAAGCTAATTAATCCTGCAAGCAAGCTACCAGCTGACCTTTCTTCCTCCTCACGGCAACCCACCTCCAAGACCTCCACCGGCGCCAGCCCCACCGCCGAACCCCGCCCCAGCTCCGCCACCTAGCCCACCGCCGCCACCACCTCCGAAACCTCCTCCACCGCCACCACCGAGTCCCCCACCAGCACCGGCTCCACCTCCAAACCCGGCTCCTCCACCAAACCCTGACCCACCACCCACTCCTCCACCAGCACCGCCGCCGCCTCCAAACCCTCCCCCGCCTCCACCTCCAGCTCCGCCTCCAAGCCCACCTCCCGCACCAGCACCGCCGCCGAACCCGGCACCAGCTCCACCGCCAGCTCCGCCACCTAAACCTCCACCACCTCCGCCTCCAAGCCCGCCTCCACCTCCTGCACCACCGCCGAGCCCGCCTCCAGCTCCTGCACCGCCGCCTAGTCCGCCTCCAGCTCCACCGCCTAGTCCACCTCCACCCCCGAGCCCGCCGCCGCCACCAAGGCCACCTCCGCCTCCGAGGCCAGGGCGGTGGAACAGGTTCTTTCCGTCGTCAAAAATGGCAGGATTAGTAGTCTGGTACAGGTTCCTGGCGCCATTGGCGGAGAGCAGGAAGGCGGCGAGCAACAAAGCGAGAAGGAGCTTGGAATGTGTCATGTTTGAGTTGGGATAGATGTTGTGTTGTGACTTGTGAGAAGAGGGAGGGCAGGAAGTAGGGTTTATATAGGAACAAGTATTGACATGACAGCTACAATAATAATATGGATGGATGGATGGATCGGAAGAGGAGGAAAAAGAGGGAAGTTGGTTGGGAGTGAAATAAATGGGGGGAGCTCTCTCTCTCTCTCTTTCAAAACCGTGTTGATAGAGTAAATGCCATGGCCAAGGCCAACTAGCATGTGCCTCTCCTTCCTCCTTTTTCTCCATTCCGTTATTATGACATAGAGAGAGATAGAGAGGCGGTGGTTGTGTTGCCCATTCCATGGCCTTTGCTCTCCTCCTCTTCCCATGGAAGCGCCTTGTTTTGCTAGCTCTTTAATCTACGTGGTAAAACTGTGGAGAATTTATGATATATATATTAGTGTTTGCTGAAATGGAAAATGGTAGCACTGCAGGCAGTCGTTCTATAGAGAGTTATTGCAAAACTAATTATAGGGTTTGCTGTAGATAGCTAGGCATACCCTAATGTGCCATTTCGTCTGTCTGGGATATTTGACACCAAAAGAGGGAACTGTGGTAGCCAGCTAGTTTATCATACTTTGTACGTATGATACAATAATATATATATGTATATAATTGAATGCAATAATAACTGCTATCATGTTATACTATAGGTATTTGATGCCATTGATATTTTGCTAATTACGTACGTATTGTATTTGTGTTCACGGTGCCACTACGTACATGCAAACTAAATACATACACAAAATGGGCGGTGCATGCATCTACTGGTTAAAGAGGGTATGAGTTATCTAACCAGGAACTAATTATTATCCTATTAGATCCACTGCATCACAAGTTATCCTCGGTAACGCTCGTCGGCTTCACTTGTACTAACCCAATACATCCTATCTATATTTTGACAAGTCGTAAAAGTCATGCATGCGTAGTGTAAAGAACAAATCAGTAGGGATTATGATGTTAATGTGTAAAAACAAGTGCCTATAAATGTATGAAATCGTACTAGAAATGTATAAGAGCCAAACTATCAATGTTTAAAAATGACAGCATAAATAAATGAAATTCGTATGCCTAACTAAGAAACGAAGAAACAATATCACATCCCAACTCTTGATCAAATAAGAGACCATTGTGTGGGGAAAAAAAAAATCCAAAACACACATTTTTTTTAAATTCCAAAATACACACGTTTTGTGAAAAATTCTTAATCTACACATGTTTGGGCATCACCACGGCCGTCAACCATGGTGAATGCATTTACCGCTGCAAACTAATTAAAGCGCTGAATGCATCACCGCGGTTGACGGCTGCGGTGAAGGCTTCATCGCGTTTGTCGGCCGCGGTGAAGGCCTGACTCAAGGCTAAAACTTTAAACTAACGTAACTTTGCTCTCGGTTATCCGATCCTAGCGAATTGTTTTTGATTCGACATAAATTTTCAAGATCTTTCAATCTTCAACCAACCTTCATCCCAAAAAAATGTCGTTTGCTACCCTGAACGAGCAATTTTTCGATTTTGCCAAACTTTGGAAGGCCATATCTATGTGCTCCTCAATCTGAAAGTCATAAACTTTTTTTTATTGCGCATAAATTTTTTAAAAATACAACTTTTACTAGGAAATAATTTCAAAACAAGAAAATATATTTTTGGGTATACGAAATTTTGGGAATAACTTTGCCTTTACTATTTACAAATCCATATACATTCCAAAATTATGGTTATGATCAAAGTTTTATTCCTTAAAAAGTTATGCGAAATCAAAAAACGTTTTATGACATTCGGATTGTGGAGCACAAAATTATGGTCTTCCAAATTAAAGTTTGTCTAAATCGAAAAATTGCTCGTTCGGGGTAGCTAGCGACATTTTTTTTGGGATGAAGGAGGGTTGAAGAAAAGATCTTGAAAAGTTATGCAGATAAAAAAACATGTGTAGATTATGAATTTTTCATAAAACGTGTGTACTTTGAATAATTTTTTAAAAACGTGTCTATTCTGGGAAAAATCCCCATTGTGTAGGGGTGGCGATTTGGTTTTTTCAGTTTTAATTGAAACCGAACCGGTTTATAAGATAACGGCTTTCCTTAACAGGTAAAAACTGACAAGTTCTTAACGATTTCGGTTAAAACAAAAAATGTTTAATAAATTGATAAGTCTTAATGCTTCGTTCTTGATTTTTTATTTACTATGATCGAAGATTCGAAACCAGATATTTTAGAACTTATTAATTTTCAATTAATCGAACATTAATAAGCTCTTGACAGTTTTGGTTTTGAGCAATTGGCTGGTAGGGGTATCGATTATTTCTAATGGGTTTCAATTTGGTAAATATGGAACCGAACCACCACCCCTACCATTATGCGGCCACCTCCATCATGCCAGATCTAGCAACTTCTCCGACGAAGCTGTTATTTGTTCTTGTCCAAACTCTAATGACCAATCTAAGAATCTAATCCTTGCCCTCATTATCAAAATTGGAATGACATATATACCTACTTAATCAGCCTACTCTTAACAGCCTTAATTCCTTCATGTCCTTCTCCCCTACATTGCATGTTCTTCGTTGAACGTTTTAGCAATAATAATTTAATGAAAAGATAAAGTAGTGCTTCATTCACAACTGCTTGATGTGGCATGACAATGGAGGAAAGTAGACTGCAAGAATGTGATCGATGATGAGACCCAGCCTCTTGCTTGGCTGGCAAGTGGCAACCCGGCCAGCTTTAAAAGTCAAAACCCACCCACAGTTTACCACTCCTCTACGTAAAGAGAAAAATGGCATCGCCGACATTTTCTCATTAATGGGGAGTGTGCAACATTTCGGTCCGGATCGGACTAAACTCATGTGAATCGTTGTTCAATAGTGAAAAGGTGGTTTAGAAACAAAGATCGAACATACCTTGCATTTCGTCCAGTTTGATCCGATCTAAATATCAATTCGACTTATTTTTATTTAATATTCATGAAATGAAGAACCGAACCACATTATATTAAATATGATCCGATACGGACCAATCCGTTCCAACTCCAGCATCTATCACAAGCACAGAGACTTTTTCGTATCCAATTGGGTCTCTTTCTTCATTCCGCAATAAGCCAGCTCAGCTGCGACTGGAAGGGAGCCCTTTTGGCCATAGCAGCAGTTGCTATTTAATGAAAACGTCAGACCATCCTCCTCAACATAATTCCTCACCTATCTATCAATACATCTCTCTTTCTTTACCGTTGCGTTCATATGAACTATTATCATCACAGAAAAGTTTGATATTGTCAAAAAGGGGCAGCCCTATGTATACGTACCTTATTGTCTGGTATATAGGTATACCCAGTTCAACAAAAAAAAATTTTGTTGAAAACTTTCATTATATTATTGAGGGTAGCTAGCTAGCGGGCGGATATAATTGGAATTCTGCAGGTTAATTAAGAGATCCTGCAGTACCATTATTTGCAATTATTTCGTTTCTCTAATTCTGGAAACTCCTTCTGGAACTAGCACATGCATGTGGTATAACGTACATTGTTCATACTTGCTGCAACATCTTAATAAAGCGCAAACTAAACGCATACTATTCAAGTTTTAAGGACTGGTACTGCGGACCGGTTCATTAATATTTGCCGAAGCATGAACAACATTATGGAACTCCTTAACTAAGCTCTCCATTTAAAGTTACTATCATGGGGGATTTAATAACCTGAAGAAGAAGAAAAAAAACTACTGATTTTAGGGGGTATTTTGCTTGTTTGATTTGCATCGTGGATGCATGTAAGATCAAAATCCTATGTATCAAGGATTTAGGGATCATTTGCTTGTTGGATTTGTTGGATTTGGAAAATGAAAGATTGGTGATGAATTTTGGATATTATGGGTTGGAAAAGAATATGATATAATAATTTTTTCTAGTTGGATTTATGGTTTTAGAAATGCATTTACCTTGCTACCTTTAACATATATATATGGGGACAATAGAGTCAATTCTTGTAATGAATTTGGATGTTTGTGACAAATATTAACCCATTAGATATGTTTTCTAAATCTTTTGGACTTATATATTTGAAAGAAAAAAATATTATTTGTACGTGAATACTGTGAATTAATGGACATTTCTTTTGTTTTTCTCAACAAAAATCCATTATGTGCGAGAATTGGATCACAAATCTAAGAAGCAAACATTCGTCAATCAAATTCGTTATTTTTTTTATCTAAAAAGAGTGGTGATTAATTTATGAGTCCAATGAATTTGAAAATCTCACATAAATATATTGAATCTGTAAAAAGAGATAAAATTCATGACTAATCTACCTCCTAATTCTTTTCTTTATTCCAACACTTAGAGTTAATAAAGTAATAAAAAATTTAACCTACAAATCCTATTTAACAAAACCAATCACCAAAAACAAAACTTTACAACAAAATTTTATTTAACTCACTTAAAAATCGATCTCAATAAAAATCACTTTGTACCATATTTTCTCCTCTCTAATTTTATATTACTCATTCCGGAAATCTTAGTGGCAATATGATTTCTTATCTTTTTCACGGGAACGGATCAGGTCAGTAACTTTATGGTGAGTAACTATGAGTAACTCGCCCACATCAGCATGACATCATCATCCTCTCTCTCCTGGAAAGTCTTTAATTTTCCCCTCCTTAATCTTTGACGAACGATTTCTCACTCGTTTTAAGTCGAAATTTAATTTTTTTTGCACAGTTAGATCAGATTAATTGTGCTCTTCAAAATGATATCCACTTTGATATATTTTTCGAACAAAAAAAAATTGAGCCATTTTATACCAGTCTATACCATATGGTATTGAATGGTATTGAAATAAGAGCATACCTATGGTTTGAAAAGCTACCATGGTGGTATGACACAAACCAAAACTGTAGGATGATTGAATACGACTTTTAACATTGTATACCATAAGATACCACCCCGTACCAGGGTGGTATTGTATGGTATTGTGTGGTATTTTTTTGTCTTGTAATTTGTTCACCCAGAAATTTGTAGATCCAATATATCATGATGAGCTCGTCCCTGATGTGCAAACGTTTTTAAAAACGAATTAAAAACGAAGAAGATACCATATGGTATGCAGTTGGTACCGAGAGGCCATAATTTTTTTTCCCTAAAAAAATATTGAAAATTGATCTCATTTTGTAGAGCACGATGAACTCGTTCCATCTGTGCAAAAAAAATTAAAATCCGAGTTAAAACGAAAAAAATATGAGTCAATTAAGAAAGCTAGTGAAAATAAAAATGACCTTTAATTCTCCATCCTTAGATCTGGATTTTCTAAATGAAGGGTCCAGGTTTGGTTATTGATGGGTGCATAACCCATGGTTATGCACCCTAACTTGAGCCCTTTTTCACTCTCCTTTTTCTTATTACTTCTCGTGTCACATTATTCCTTCACACATTTTCCTACTTTCATCTTAATGTCAATATTAGTACTAAATAAAGTCTAATGAAGTAACTAAACACAAAAATAGTCAACTTCTATAAGAAAATATGAACTAAATATGTTTCTATTTTTTCAATTTCACAGTGTAGAAATTGTAAGGGGTCGTTTGCTTCATTGATTTAAAAATGAGAATTTTTAATTTAAAAATTAAGGATTTATCAAGTATTTGCGGCATTATGAATTTGTAACAATCCTTTGTTTGTTGAGATGTTTTATCATGGATTTAAGGATTTGAGATTTAGAACTTAACGTCTAAAATTGCCTTACTATCTATTTCTATTTGTTTGTCATATTTAACTTTTAACGTAACATATATAAAATTATCAATTCTTTGTCTTCCTTTTCAAAAGTAACATATAGCAACATATATTAGAACCGGGAGAACAAATAATTACATGTAACATGAAAATGTCAACGAAAATTAGTATACAAAAAAAGATAATAAAAAATCTAATTCATGTGTTCAAATTAATTGAATATTTATTCACCAAAAAAAAAAATTAATTGAATATTTATATTATTTCTTTGTTGTTAATTAATTGATTAATTATGATGCACATCATGTAAATGTGAGGGCAATTTTGAAATATTAAATATTTATGAGAGTATATAGGTAAAATGACATCATATATTTATAGCATGTTTCAAATCCCACATCAATACGTGAGATTTCTAACTCCCTCGGGTTTAGGAATTTAGACCCTTAAAAATCCATGGGTCTCACGGATTTGGTCCCTAAAAAAAGTGCATTCAAACGATGAATTTTCGTGAAATCCATGATGGATAGAATTTGGGTACCAAATCCAATCCATCGTCCAAATCCACGAAGCAAACGACTATGTCACAACAATACTGCAACCAATAATATATTCAACAAAAAAAGCAATAGAATTGTACGGATGCGAAACGCTGCTTTTTGCATTGCTCCGAGATTTTAATAAATGCACGGGAGAAGCTACTGTGCTAACTTCATAGGAGTTAGCACCGTGCTAACTATTCTAATCATTGTTTATTATATAAAGTTGAATATGACGGTGGTTGGTAATCAAGGGCTAGTTAGGTATTTCAAAAAATAAAAATAAAAATAAATCAATTAAAATCTAAAATCAATTTTCTCTCTCCGTTTTTATTAGTTATTTTCTACCAAACAATTACTACTAAATTCATTACTACTGAAATTAGTAGTGATTTTGAAAGTCTATAGTAGTGATTTCATTTTATAGTAGTGATTTTATTGTTAGTAGTAGTGATTTAATGATTTTTTAATTAATAGTAATGGGCGATTTGTAAGTGAGAATCACTACATACTAATGTCTACCGGTACAAAACACTACTAAAAATGCACTATCACCAACAAGCAAAACTCTACGAATTGTTAACAAATCAATGAACAATCAAAATAACTACCTAAAAATAGCTAACAATACTCATGTAATGGGAAACTTTCCCTCGTGCCGAATAAACCAAAATGGGCTTCCCCCTTTCAAACTTCGTCGGCCTTCTTTCAATTTTATATTGATCAGAAACAAAGATGGAACAGATCTGGATTTTTTTTCAACCGCAGCCCGTCGATTCCCTCCCTCTATATCTGCGACGCCTTTATCAGATTCGCCCATCCGGGCTCTCTGTCTCGTTCCATTACGGCTGCAATCCTGGTGACGAAGTCCAAACAGATCTTACCACTTCATAAGATTCGGTCGGCCGTGTCCCGCGACGACATCCATCATAAGATTCAGCTCGTCCAGTCTCTTTGTCTAGCTCCGTTCTTGCTATAAACCTCACGATGACGACGGCTATACCCAGCGGTGATGCTCCCACACGCTTTGGCTCCTGTTGGTGGTGGTGCTCGCGCACCATCGTTTCTCCGGCCTCCAGATCTATGAGCGGTTTGTGATAGAGAGGGGAGGTTGAGGGTCGCTTATTGTGTGTAGAAGGGTTGGAGATAGAGGCAGCGAAGAGACACTTTTATAATTAGGGTTTAGAGATTTTAATTAAGTAATTGACAGAAATAACCTTCAATTAATTATCACTCTTGGATTATTATTTCAATCTAGCGGCTAGAAAGAAAGTTAGCATGGTACTAACCTAAGGGGTTAGTATCCAATCTCATTCCTAAACGCACCTTTAATGTTGGGCCTGCATTATGGCAATTTTTTTTTTGGGCTGGCATTCGACGCTAAATTTCTCCTGACATTAGCAAAGCCCAATAGGACCATGGAAAACAGATACGGAGAGCCCAGCTCAAATATCTTCATGAAGGAGCAACGTTATCCACAAACGCTTACGAATCTGCCAAGAACGTAAGAACCAAAACAGAGAAGCTGTTACTACACAAACACAACGCCTGGCTTTGATACCATTAACGTTACTGGCGACGATGAACTCCACATCCCAGTTCCAATCTCCATTCCTTTCCCTTGCCAGCCCCTATTCACTCCCTAAACACACCAATCAGCCATGGAATTCCCCGACACTGCTCTCGCCTTCACGGCCGAGGAAGGACAACGACGGCTGGAACGTGAGAACCACTACAACTACTACTCCGACACGAGCCATGTCCAGTTCTTCCCTCGACTACCTCGTCCTCGGAGTTGCCACGGCGAAACGCGGGGACATAGCTGTGTTGTTACCCACGGGGTTAGCAAATCTTGTCATCCTTCCATCGTGAATTACCTCTCCAAGCATATGAATGGATGTTCTGAAATTGCTTTGTTTCATTTGTTCCTCGGTTTTTGTTGGTTACAGAGGTTTGCTTCTGTTCTTTTACGTGATATCCAACTTCGTCTTCCCGCATTTCTTGATGAAGTACTATGAGTCGGAAGCAGCCAAGGACGAAGACAATGCCACTATCAAGACTTCTTCCGATGACGACTGAAATCTCCTTTCTGCCCTTGGTCGCAGTCAGCAGATGTAGCAGGAAGATTACTCAAAACAGGAAAATCTCGGATTCTCAATTGTATTTTCTCTCTTCTTTGCCTAAATTTGTATTATAACACATTTCGTGCAAGTAACAGGGTTCTGCTGATATTCTGCCTAAACCCCGGGGGCAAAAACAGGTCGAACGAGTGTGTGGATTTACAGATGAACAAGATTTTAAACCAAAAAAACAGGGGGACAGAAGGCATGGATTCCTTCATTACCTTGGGGGGATTTGAAAGAGATGGAAAATTCAAAACTAATTACAATTGGCTGTGTAGGATGATTCCCCTCTGTAGCCTTTCAAACGAGTGTCCAGTCACTATCTTCTGCTGAAGGGGTTTTTTCACCAGGAGATGCGCTCCCTGGTTTGGGAGGCTTGTTTTTCGAGAACAAGGATGACTTGCCCTCGAAGAAATTAGAGAATTGCTGTTTCATGGGGCTCTCCTCTGAACTGCTCTCGGATCTTGGGGACGGCTTTCTCGGGTTCCTGTCCTTAATGCCGAAGTTCAGACCCAATTTTAGGAAGCTAATGCGCTTGGTTTCAGATCCAGGTGTTCTGGCCTCATCAGCCTGCTTCATTGCCTTAACAACTTCATCCGGGTTCACTATCATTGCCTCCATTGTTTCATACACCTGCATTTGTAAACCATAGTTCATTAATCAATTGATCTCTGGCCATGCACTGGCAGTAAGTTGATCCAAGCAAACAACTCAGGGAGGGCAATACTCCTGCAAAGTATAATTTCTCAGTGGGAGCTCTAGAATTTCCAGTTGATTCAACCGATTTGATTGAAAAGATCATTATTAGGTTAACTGGAGGCACCAAGTGGTGCAAAATAGTTGAATGAAAGATGGAGCCACTTACTGAAATATGATTAGAAATCAAATACCCCGGTTGAGAAATGATAGGGGGCTTGTGATCAGCAACTTACTTGGCAAATGTCGTCCACTTTTTCACTCCAGGGCCTTCCTTGACAAGTTACCACGAAGTAGTCTTTGCACTCATAGAATAGCTTTGATAAATAATCGTTGCTAGAGAGTTTTGCCTCGGCCATCAAAGTTCCCAGACCAAGCTGAACATATCACAATACATAAGATTATTAGTTTGCATTTGCGAGGATATTGTTTAATATTGAACCTCGTAGGAAGTGCGTAAAGTGGAATTGATCCTTTACCAAAGAAATGAAGAATTGTTCAAAAAGCTCAGAAGGGCTGATGTTCTCCATGTGATTCAGAATCCCCTCACTGCAGGAGACTCCGTGCTGTTTTTGTAAGCTTAGGGTGTACAACTTCGAAATTAGAGCAGAGCAAATGAATAGCTAAGGTAAAACTTACACTGCCAATTCCTCATCAAACAAAGGAGCCTGTTTAACAGCCGGAACCGGCTTAGATGTTTCCCACAGTTCACGCCACAAGTTTCCTGCCATCATCACAAAGAGACATTTGTGAAAAGGTCTTCTAACTTCAAGTACTTCTAGATTCGTCCAAGAAACCCAAAACTAGATCAACAAACTTCATCCAACATTGCTTGTGTTTGCAATTCAAAGAAGACAACTAATTGGTAGAGCTTTGCAAGGATTGTATTAGTAACTATCCAGGCACGAAATAAAGTGTTTTTTTAGAGGGTATACCTTCTTTCTGCATTCGACTACTTAAGTAACCTTTTGTTGACGATGAATTACCCCCATCTGAAGAAGAAGTCTCATTCGCCTCATCAGTTGGCTCACTGTCTGTCCAGTCAGGAGGAGAATGCCATCTCACAAAATCCTCTAATATACAGCCAGGATTGGCAGCCTAACGCCAAAAGGAAAAATATTTGAGCCAGTTACAAATATGAACATTTTAGAAATTAGAAGCTAACTAAAACCACTTCGTTATGGACTGGGCCTACCTTGAAACCTTGCATGTCAGAGAGTAACTGAGAGCACCCAGCACCAACACTGCCCCCAAAAGGAACTTAATTAGTCCACTCAAATCTGTATCCCAAAAAAGCTCACATGCATGCTGATAATTTAGAATAATAAATTTGGGTTTAAACTTTGAAGTATGCCAGCTTTATTATCTGCATAATAATAACAAGCAAATGATGCAAAAGGCACAAATATTGATCAAGAATAGTCCTCCATCCCACTATGCAATATATAGAAGCCCTCCAAAAGTATCACTTACACATTGTTCCTTTTGTGTTTTACATAAGCATCCATTTCAAGCATGGCAAGGAGGTAGAAGGTAATAACTGTACACACCTTCCAGTTCGAAGAACAAATTCTTCTGTTTCTTTGATAAGATCTTCGGTAAGCAAAGGGCCCTCCTACGATCATTGACACCCCAGATATAAATTAAAATAAAAATACCGATTCTTATCCAGTATCATTTAGATCTAACTAACCAAACCTGAGGGATAGGAGAGTATATTGGTTCACCACTTTCCAGCATGAACAGATTAGGAGCCTTCGAACCCGCACCTAGCCGAAGTACAAGTTCTCCACTGCTCGTTTTGGCATATAATAAATGCCCAGGAGCATTTACACCTTTAGCAGATTCTGGAGAAAATCTCTTGGCGTCCCTTAATGCAGCTTCCAGTGATTTAGAAGCAATCGCGTGACGCTTTTTCCTGGAGACACAGCAATTGATAACTTGAAGCTGCTGGTATAGAAGGCAGGAATGAAGATCTGGAAACTCATCCAGAGGGATGCCTGGTATGTGGAGTTCTTCACCCCAGAGTCTTCTGAGCTGCATACGTAATTGGAGACAGTTAGCTGAACTGGCTAAGATCACAATGAAGCATCTCCACTGGTTAACCTTCCCTTTTCATGAATAAGGAATTTCATCATCTAAATAATAATATTAACTTGTAGAAAGTCTCACAAGATCTAGCACTGATTGTGAAGAATTACAGGGGTGGTTTTGTAAGCATTAGAACTCATGAGTAAATCAGAAATGTTAGTAACAGCTTATGTGAAATAGGGAAATTGACAAATCATAGATGTTTCTTAATCCAACCTTTAAACATATAATCCAAAGCTTCTAGCTGACTAGATAGTACCCAGAACGTTCTACAGCTGACATGTTATTGTAAGTTTCCTTATTACCATAAGAATTCTATTTTTACGAAAACCATTAGCAATTTATTATCAATAGCTTCACTTACTTCAGCAACAATTTTGCACCACAGGATAGCCATTTTCCTCAATGTTTTAAAGCTTCCAATTACTTCAGATAGCTTTACAAGAAAGCTTCCGGGAGGTACACCATGAATGTCTTTAATCAATGATAAGGAATCCTCACTACAGCTCACATTCCTCCTTAGAAAGTCCCCCTCTGCGAGAATCTTGCAGATATTACAACAGAAGTGAAAGATCATCACAGGATAGACCAAAATAGTACAGACGACAACAAATGTATACATAAATTAAAATTGAAATGAGACACAGTAACAATTGAGGCAGGGAAGTATCAATTTACCTGCATCAAACAACGACTGCAAGATGGACAAAACCTTCTCGTGATTCTCAAACTCAGACGCAAGCTTCTCGTCCTTATCACGAAGCACCAATGACTTCACAGCAGCAAGGCTTCTGCTTGCCCTCTCCCTCATTGGTGAAGAACTTCCAGAAGGCACCACAATATCTTTTATTGACTTGTATTTTTTCCCAGCACTACAAAAAGGGAGCAGAAAGCAAAACTATAAGCAATTACAAAGAATTGTTCATTACAGGAACTGAGTCATCTAAGGAAATCCCCTTGTTATTCATGGAAAGAGTACAAACATGAAGGGACTTAGATTATTCAGTAAAAGTGAGAAAATGAAGATACTGGATAATTAAGAAAAATGACAGCACAATCTTACTCAATAGCAGTAGCCAATTGCTTCATGACAGATGCTGGAGGGATGCTGTCTGGAGTTGTGGCATTTAATCTTTCTACTATGTAAGGTACTTGTGACGCCTATAAATGACAACCCGCAAGAACCACAGGATTTGTTTGATCCAATCAAAAAAGAGAAACAACAAGTAATTAGTCATTCACTCATCAGCATTTGTCGATTTTCAAGTACTCGTGCAAAGGCAAATGGCAATGAAGTTCACAGTATTCAACTTACCTCCAAACCCAGGACAAGAAACAAGCACAAAAGGCACAAAAGAAAAGGAATTGTAAGAGACTGTAAAAGGGGTAAGAGCAATGTATCTCACCTTGACCTCAGCATCCTTTTTCATGTTCAGTATGTACAAATTCTCATCATAAAATGCAAGAGCCATCTTTGAATCATCAACTTTTTCTGTCGGCCTGTCACCTCCTTTTTTCCCTATTCTAATATTTTTGAATCGGTCCTGCCAATCCTGCTTTATTCCTATAGATGCAGGCTTCCACTTCAAGTGCTTCCCTTCATTGTTGCTCTGCATCAAGCAAAAATTACTATTTAAACATTGAAAATTTCATACCCTCCTTGACTAAGCTCATTCATCTCAAAGACTACTAAGAAACTAGATAGCTTCAGACGGGACATTAAGAAGTTCTATGGGTAAGAAAAATCTGCATCGTTCCACATAGACAATAAAAAAAAATGCTTGATTGCAGATTCTATTTTCCTAAAAAGAGAGGAAACAAGATAGAAATCTCTCCCATAACCACAAGCTACCCTAGCTTGACCCAATCCACGCCATCAATCATTTAATCCAACCAGAAATGGAACAATTCCGCCTCTCCATATGCTCAACCCATATTTTCTCAGCAATCAAACAGGAAAATAACTTCTCGCTGGGATAAATAAAAATTCAGAATGTACTTTCAACTTCACCATCCAAACCTACATTTCGCCGGAATCCAAAAAGGAACAAACGAAAATTGGAAGTTCATCTCCCTTTCTGACCTTAGACTCGCTTTCGTTCCTCAGAGACTGCTTATCCGGCTGCTCACTCCGTTCTTCCCTCGGCGATTGCTTGTTGTCAGCATCTACTCCGACGGAAACGGCGACAAAATGAAATTCAACAATCAGAAAAGATCATCCGAAACAAGAACGCGCAGACGACCAGGATACAAATGAAGAACATAAAAGGAGGAAACAAAAAAAGTCAAGGAGGAGGAGAAAATTTGAGAGCGCGACTGAAAATAGCAAAACGAAAAAAAGGATGGCTGGAGAAATAAGAGGGCGGAAAATTAGGAGCGCCGAGAAAGAAAGAGGAGGGTGAGGGAAGAAGAGAATCTGAGAGAGAACCTGATCGGTCGGATTTCAAATCGGTGAGGACGCGCTCGGCTCGAGCTGCAGTGAATGGAAGGTTGTCCGTGCTTTGGACACAAACGAAGGAGACTCCATTAGCAGATATCGGCAGAGCTACTCCTTCTCCTTCGGCCTGCAGCGGCGGCGGGGGTGGCGAGATTAGTGGAAGGGAGAGTTGGTGAGGGGCGAGAATGGAGGCATTAGATTAGTTTAGTGAGGACGAAAAGGGAGAGGGAGAGACGGCAGAGCGACAGAGGGAAAGAGTGTTGAGAATTGCGGAAATGGGAGGATGCTCATGCTTGTTGTTTTGAGAAAATTTTGAATTCGTTTTTTTTTCTCTCTATTTTCTTCAATAACCAAAATAGGAAAAGGGAGAAAACAAATTATAGCTTCATTTTTATTTTGTTGGAAAAATAAAATTAGCATGTCAAAACAAACAATCAGTAGCTTCTGAAAGTTTAATATTTCTGCATTAAAAAAATTCGAAAAAGAAGATTTAATATTTCTCTTTTAAATGTTTTTGTTATAATGTTGGGGGAAAGGCCAAGAAGGGGGAGTACTCTCATCGCTCTGACCTCTCTCTTCTTTCTCTCTCCTTCTGACCTAGCTGGTGGAGCTCGTTTGGCGGCATGGCCGCACCGGATCCTGCGAATTGGGCTCAGCTTTTTGGAGTGGGGGAATGCAATTGTCTTCGCTATGTTGCACTTGCACTGGTTGATGGGGAGCTGGTGATCCCTCGATCTGTTCGTGAGGAGGGAGCGGTTCGGTGGCGGAATGCTTTGGTCGGTCAGTTTCTCTCTGAAGCTCCTCCGATTGCAACGATTCGTCGCTGGGCTCAACGTTATTGGGGAAGGGATGGTCGAGTTTTTGTGTTAGTTTTTGGTACGAACATGTTCCTATTTTAATTTGAGAGTGTGGAGACGAGTACCTGGGTTTTTGAGAATGGTCCATGGCATTGTGAGAATGTGCCTCTCTTCCTGAGAAAGTGGGTTCCAATCATCCAATCGATTAAACTGGGTTGTTCACGATTGCCGATTTGGGTGCGAATCAGGGAGCTACCATTGGAGTATATGACAGAAGAGGGCTTGAGTAGGGTGGCTAGTATGCTGGGTGCGCCATTGTGAATGGATCAGTCGACGAAACTGGGAACTCACATGGGGACGACTCAGCTTTGAATTGAGATGGCTGCAGATTCTTTGTTCCCGAAAGAGCTTCGAATTCGCTCTGAAGGTGAAGGGTGTTGAGTTTGGGCATCAGATTGGTGAGAGGGTTAAATGTGGGAAGACTGTGGTTGCGAACGTGGAGACTGCTCCAGTTTCTGAGTAGGTGGTTTCTCCAGCTATTTCTAGTGAAGGTTTGCTGGTTGGTGGGTCTAGTTCTCCAGCAGCATTGGGGGTGTCTACTCCTACATGCACTCCTCCACTTGTGATTGGGTAGGTGGTGTTTGAGGCTTCTGAGTCATCCTCTTTCTTAGTGGATGCAGATGGTTTTCAACTTGTTGGTAAGAAGGGTAAGGCTGTTCAAGTGAGTCACCCTGCACAGAGTAGTGGAATGCATATCCCTGATTCTGCAGTTCAAGCTCGAGTACCTCTGAATGCGAAGGGCTATAATTTGGTTGTTCCTGCTTCTCCCAAGAAAAAGGGAGGTAGGAAGAAGAAGCCATGAAGTTTCTTTGTTGGAACCTCAGAGGATTTAATTCCTCTAAGAAACATAGGTATGTGAATAAAAAAATTGCGCAGTTAGGAGTAGATTTTTTTGCCATTCTAGAATCTCGAGTTTTGAAGGGTAATGCTGATGAAATAGTTAGTAGGAAGTTTAGTAGTTGGGGCCACTTAAATAACTATAAGTATTCCTATAATGGAAGAGTCTGGTTATTTTGGAAACCTGCATTGCAACTAGCTGAGATTTGAATGGTTCGGCACTTTATTCAAGTGAGAGTAAAGTCTAGTGAGGAATCCTGTGTGGTCACTGCAGTTTATGGGCCTAACAAGACAGTTGAGAGAGTTGATATGACTGAAGAGTTAAGAAAGTGCATAGTGATTCAGGAGCCTGGTATTTTTCTTGATGATTTAATGCAATTGTTGAGGCGTCATAAGCTTCGAATAATCCTGTCTGTAATCAAAGTATGGGTGATTTTCTTAAGCGGATCACAGATATGAAGTTAAATGATCACAAAGTTATTGGCTCTTGGTTCACGTGGTGGAATAAGCAGTCTAACAATCCAATTGTTAGAAGGATTGATCGTGCCCTGGTTAATGATGAGTGGCCGGGAGTTTTCAAGGATATTTTGGTTAAAACTTTGTCCCCTGGAGTCTCGGATGTGGTCTTTTTGTTCACACTGATCCGTTGGTTGCCTCTTTGTCGAAGCCTTTTAAATTCTTTTCATTCTGGAGGCAGCACCCTCAGTATGAGAGTTTGTTGGAGGGTGATTGGCAAATTGAAGTTGAGGGAGTTCCATATTTCCAATTGTATCAGCGGCTGAAAGCACTGAAGTTAAAGCTAAAGGGCTTAAATAGGTCTCAGTATTCTGAGATTTCTTCACGGGTAAGGGAGGCTGAAGCTAAACTTGAAGCATTGCAGCAAGATGTATTAGATGATCCTTTTGTTCAGCACTCAAATGCAGTTTTGGAGCACGAAATGGTTTGTAGAGACTTGCAGAAGGTTGAACAGCAATTTTACAGACATAAATCAAGAATTAGAAGAATTATTTAAGGGGACTCTAACACTAGATTTTTTCACAGTATGGTTAAAGTTAGAAATCATCAACAGACTATCCAAAAGTTGATTACTGATGAGGGATTAGTTCTTACTGAGGTAAAGGCTATGGGTCAGCTGGCTGTTGAGCTTTATAAGGGCTTGCTAGGTAGAGCAAGTCCTCTGGTGAAGGACACTCCACAATCTTTTTTTGAGGATATGCTCTTTCATAAGCTTGGAGAGGATGATGTTCATCTTTTGAACTCTGCTGTTTCAAGAGAAGAAATTAAGGCAGTTTTCATGGATATGGGTAATGATAAGGCTCTAGGACCAGATGGACACACAACTGAGTTTTTCAAACTGGACTGGAATATTGTTGGAAAAGCTGTTGAAGACACTGTGTTGGATTTCTTCAGGACTGGTATCATGCCTCGAAAGGTAAACTCAACTATTATAGCTCTCATTTCTAAGCTAGCAGTGGTTGATAGAATGCAGAATTTTAGACCAATATCGTGTTGCAACGTTGTTTATAAAGGAATCTCAAAACTGTTGGCAAATAGACTCTCCCTAGTGTTACCAAAACTTATAGGGGCTAGTCAATCTGCATTTGTGAGAGGGAGACTTATTGGTGACATCATACTTATGGCAACATAATTGGTTAAAGATTATATCACAAGGCCACTGTCTCATCTAGATGTGTTTTGAAGATTGATTTGATGAAAGCATTTAATTCTGTGGATTGGAAATTCCTTCTGAAGGTTATGATTGCTATCAATATTCCACTGAGTTTCATCAAACTGATTGAAGCTTGTGTCACATCTCCTATGTTGAGCGTGGCTTTCAATGGAGGACTTTGTGGTTATTTCCCAGCAGGCAAAGGGTTGAGACAAGGTGATCCTCTCTCCCCCTACTTGTTTACTATTGCCATGGAGGTCTTTTCTTGTATGTTAGCTAGGGATGTGTCTCATGATTTCATTCCTTATCATCCACGATGTAAAAGTCTTGAAATCACTCATCTTTGCTTTGCGGACGATCTCCTGGTTTTTTCAAATGGTTCAATCAGAGCAGTTGCTGGGATTAAAAGGTTACTTGACAGGTTTTATCAAGTTTCTGGGCTGAAATGCAATCTGGCCAAGTGTCAATTGTTCTGTGCTGGCATTTCCAAGGAAGAGTAGAAGTGGATATCGGATTATACAGGGTTCCCTTTGGGAGAACTGCCAGTAAGATACTTAGGAGTGCCTCTTTTATCTGGGAGACTGTCGGCTCAGGACTGCAGCATCTTGGTGAGTAAAATAACTAAGAGGATCATATCTTGGCAAGCCAAAACACTCAGCTATGTTGGGAGAATACAGTTGATATCTTCTGTTATCACTAGTGTTTTCCAATATTGGATGTCTATTTTTCTGTTGCCTTTGAGGGTCTTAAAGTCGATTGAAGAAGTATGTAACAAGTTTCTGTGGGGTGTTGGTTCGTAAGCTGGGAGGAAAAAGGCACCAGTGTCATGGTCAAGAGTTGCTTTACTGAAAACAGAAGGAGGGTTGGGGATAAGGGACATCAAGACATGGAATAAAGCTTGTGTTCTTCGGCATCTGTGGAACTTGCTTGCTGAAGCAGGGCCTGAGTTCCTGTGCTTAAGGCTAAAAGCTTAAGCATATGCTTAAACCAATCTTATTGGTTGTTAGTGGATATGGCAGTTAATAAGGAGTTTTTAGTTAATAAATGATTAAGGGTATGAAAGTAAATTGTATATTTAACTAATTAATATTTAAGCCAATTTAAATGTTAAAGGAAAACTTAAACGTCAACCCTAAAACTAATATTAAAAGACGGTTAGGCTTTTTTTTTAACCGTTTCGTCTGTCTTCTTCCCCGCCCTCACGTCTGCGACTTGGAGCTGCTCTCCTTCCCAGCCGGCGTCCAACCTCTCTCCTTCCCACGACGTTGCTCTTTCCGCCTTCCCACGATATTTGAGTTATTAATAATTCCGCATTTAATTGTCAACTTTTTTTTGTAGTAATTATCAACGTTTTTCGGTAGTGACTATCAATGTTTTAATTTTTTGTTAAATGTTAACCTCGTTTATTATCTATGATTTTTTCATCGCCTTACATTTTAATTATTTTTTCGTGCTGTGTTAATAATATCTTAATGTGCTATTAAGAAATCAACTTTTCACATTTGTATATGGTAACGTTTATTGAATTATCATTCAAAATAAAACGCAGGTGACAAGTTTTTGCCATTACATTATTAACAAATTAAATATCATGACATTAATAATAAATAACCGTATCAATTTTTTCCAATGTTTGTTTTAAAGAAATAAAACTTCACTATTAATAAATATTAGACCATTATCAAAGAATGGTTCAAACTATCTTTCATAGATAAGGAGCATTACATTATTATTTTTGTATGAATCTTCAACGAAATATAAGAACGTTATTAAAAAATATCATACCATTATTAATAAATATAGTCACGCTAGCATAACACTAAATCCCTTGGATTTTTTTCAACAAATAGGACCACTTTATTAATAAATAGCATACCATTATCAACCACACTCGGCATCTCATTCAAATTTGTATAAATATCTAGT